CTTTCGGAGCGAGACGCGACAACCTCTACAGAGTTACTTGGTTCCCCTTCAATTCTCACCACTACAGAGATCGACCTCGCGGAGAGAGCCATCTTGAGGTGGTTGCAAGCCTACACCTTTACCAAGGAAATCGTGGACTTGAAGTCGGGGAGGGGACTGGCACGATCCAGCTCCCTGAAATGTTCCTCGACGAAAAGGATTTCCTCAGGGTAGGGGAGCGGGCTGCATTAATATACAACCATCGACATCCGGTGATCCTTCCGAAAGGTGAATTTCTCACCAAGCTTCTCCTGCACGGCGAGCACGAGCGATTGCTGCATGCCGGATGCGAGGCAGTCTTGTCATCGATTCGTAGGCGTTACTAGCCTCTCTCAGCTAGAAGCACGTTACGAGGGGTGATTCTGGGGTGCATGCGGTGCAGTCAAGCGCAACCCAGGACCGAAGAATACCAAATGGATCCCCTGACTCCAGGACACTTCCTCACGGGAGATCCTATTACTGATATAATCCATCCTGACGTCACGGACGTCAAGGTTAGTCGTCTGTCCAGATTTCAGCTGCTGCAGGCGATACAACAATACTTCTGGAGGCGATGGGAGCGCGATTACCTGCACCAGTTCCAGCAACGGTCCAAATGGTGAGACCCAAGGCCTCAGACCATCAGGGTGGGCAGGCTGATCGTGCTGAAGGACGAAAACCTTCCGTCATGGTAGGCCGAATAGTCTAGTTGCATCCAGGGTTAGACGGGGTGACGCGAGTCATGTCAGTGCGTACTAGCACTGGCACCCTCACCAGACTAGTGCCCCAATTGCGGTACCGATATTTTCCCCACTCATAATTGGGACACTACCAATTAGCCAGGAAGAGAATCCACCTGAGCGACTTTCTTCCTGGCTAGCACTCACTACCGATTACGTCTTCAGGCAGTCGTAACACATTGTAAACCGTACTCCGATCTTCGGGCACGGTCACAGACAAATTGAGTTGGGACACAAGTTCCAAAAAAGCCATCGTTCGGTGGAGTAGGCCGCATACGACCAACCTCAACACCGCGACGAAACCATTATTTTAAATGAGTGATCTATACAAGTATAAATTAACATTTAGTTAAAATTAATAAATTAATAAAACATTGAAAAAAAATTAAAATTTTTAATATATTAAAAATATATATATGTTATCGCCGGAGCCGGTATAATGTCATCGCGTTGACTAGTTAGACGGTGGGCGATGTATTATGAGAGAGCTGTGTCTCACACGTATGTACAAGTATCGATCCGATTTATTATTCGATACACGATTATCATTCCAATATTATTTACCAATTGACTACGACTTGCTCTGCCCGAGAGTTTGTGCGGTAGTGATCATTAGCCAGGAAGAAAGTGACTCAGGTCGACTTTCTGGCTAATTGGGAGTGTTCTAATTGTAAGTGAAGAATGTGACCAATAACATCACCAACATTATCTGTTTTGCGATACGGGCTAAGATCGGGCTGAACCAGCGGAACGTTAGTGGACCTAAATAATTCAATAATCACATTTTTTTAATTAATAATGATAAATAAAAATATAATTAATATGTTATATATTAGTATTTATATATTATATATTAGTTATTCTACATATATTATTTAACTTTGTACTACTGGCTGAAATTTTTTCTTCCATTATATAAAAAATGCTAGTATGTAATTATCAAAATTATAGTAGCGATAAAATAAAAATTTTAAATAATAATTGGTATTAAATTCGACTTTCATATTAACAGGTATTTTTTTAGAGTCAGAATTTAATGATTTAAATACAAGTTATTATATTTAATACTAAAATGTAATAATATGAATGAAAAATTAAAAAAAATTAAAATCAATTCTTCTACTAAATTAATATGTGATGTGTTAATTATTGCATATGAACGTAATGAACGATAGATGTATTGATATACATTGTCTTTATGTACGTTATTTAATATTTTATCTATAATATTTAATCAGTTTAGTATTATATGCAAATCTGACAAAAATTTAATGTTCAATGTTAAGGTAATCACAATATCATCAATGTTAATAAAGAATATTCAAAAAAAGATAGCCTAATGATTTGTTTCAAAATCTCAATTGAATTTTCGATAAGCGATTTACTTTATTTATTTATTTAATTTTATTTACTTATTTTTAAAAATTATTTTATAATTTAATAATTAAAAATTAAGATTGTAGTTTATTAAATTGTTTCTATTATTATTTTTTCTATTATATTCAAACACATTTATCGCTCATTGATTAAAAAAATATTACATCTGTTTTTTTTTATTATATAAAAAATTTATAATTTAATGAAAAATTTAATGAAAAATAAATTCAATATATTTTTTTTAATAAAAATATATTTATATTTATGATATTTTTTTCAATACATTGGTTTTGTTTGTTTGAAATTGATTCATTAGATGCGATTCTACTAGTCTATGTAATTAACAACATTTTTTTGATAATAGGTCATTAACAAAACCGTAACAAAAACCGCAAAAAAAAGTGTTACTTAAATTATCTTTAAAATTAAAAAAATTAACCGGTGTTCCATTGTTTTTAAGATATTTTGTATCAAGTTTTGTTGTCTAACTAACCATAGATAATATATTATTATTATTCGTAGAATAAAAATATTATATAAATGGAAAAAATATATAAATTTTATTCTATAATTTTCATTTGCAAAGTTTTAAAATAAGAATGAAATATATATAAAGAGATATATAATGAATGATCAAATGAAATCAAATGAATCAATCAAATGAATAATCAAATGAAAGAAAAATATTTTATATATATTTTATTTAAATAATAGAAAAATACTTTAGCAAATCAATCAAATTTTCAAATCAGAATTAAATTGTACATTTTTTAAATAAAATAATCTTTTGATTAATTGAATTTAAAACATATTTTTCTAATATGTTTTATCTAATAGAATAAATTTTTCAATCTTTTTTAATTATATGACAAATATTTATAAAATTGTTTTTCATAAATTCTTTAATTTATTATAAATTCATTAATTTTAAGATTAATATAATTTTTTATTAGAATTAATTCAAAACTTTTCTTGATTTTTGTAAAATAAAAATATAAAAAAATAATACTTATTAAAAGAAAACAGAAAAATATCATTATCTAAAAAATATTGAAGAAATTTTTTATCTTTTGTTACTAATTCAAAATGTTACTAATTCACTTAACTAATTATTTCAAATAATTGTTGAATGCTGCAATGAATTTTATGAAATTCATAAAATATGGAATTTAAATGGTTTTTGAGGAGAATATTTCATAAAATATTTTTTTGATAGTTTCTCAGTGATTTTTTTAGAGATTTTATGTTCATTTTTTTAAATGATCTAGTAATGATCATTTTTAAAAAATAAATTATTCTATTTAGAAAAAAATCAAAGTAACCTTGAAATCTTCAAAAGCTTTTATTTATAAAAAAGCAAATATTTAAATTCCATATCTTAAAATTTTAATAATATAAAATGTACTGTTTAATAATTTTATTTACTTTTTTATCAGATTAGTTAATATTCTATTATATATATACATGAAGATTGAAATAGATAATTTAATAATTTAATAATAGCAATAATATTTTCATTTTTTATTTTGTATATACATATATATGTATATAATTCTTTGGAATTGTTACTTTTTAAAATTTTTATTCTGTATTTTTATTCTTATATTAGTTAAGAAAATATTCCATAAAATAAGAAGCAATCTTGCAATAATACATTTCAATAGATTTATTTTAGTGAAAATATATTTGATTTCTAAATTATGTAGTGTAGAAAAAGATCTTATAAAATAAAATACCTTATAATATAAATAATTTGTTTGCCATTACATTATTCCAATCACGATATTTTGTTAAAATTTCTTAATTTTAAGTAAAAATAATTTTATAAATCATATTTATTTGTTTTTAACTATGAAAATTGTTCACGTATTTTGATTATTTGTATTACTATTCATTTTGTCACGAATCTTTTTGATTAACTCAAATATCTATTATATATATAAATATCTATTATATTAGCAATTATTTACATTTTCCACTTATCATTTAAGATTGCATTTATATCGTAATATCTCTATTTTGTAACTATCAATCTTATGAGAAACGCATATTGTTACTATACGATTAAATTAAATTAAAGTCTCTTTATCTGTAGTTTTTCATAAATATCACGTCTAAGCTGTTATAGATATTCGTTTTCCGTTTAATGTGAAAGAATATTTTTTTAAATACTACTTCCAAGAAAATTTTAGTTCTGTTGCAAAATAATTCCCCTTTGCATCTGTCTTACAACATATGCTACGCTAATGTATAATGCAATCGATAATTATTACCATCGGTTTACCAGAAAGAATGTACTACAAGAAATGCTGACTTTATCTATTATAATGATCATAGTAAGTAAAATTTATGATGCTATGTCTACGATGAATTAATATTGCAATTTATAAACAGAATTCGCCAACACTTGTAAAAATTCAATTCATAATCATATGTATGTCCTCTCTCATGGAAATTTACATGTATGCGTGGCCAGCTGATTACATGCAAGATACAGTAAGTTATATTTATATTTTAAGTAACAAAATTAACGAATCACGAAAAACTGTTATTCGTTAAAAAAAGTTAATAATTAATAATTCAATTAGATCACATTGCAAAATAAAATTTACATTGTTTAATTCATTTATAATTTATAATAATTCATTTTTATTGTGAATTTTTTATCATTACGATATGTGAAGTACGAAAGTAAGTTTGCTTTTTTTTTTCTAAGTAAATTGTATTGAATTTAGTAATTCTTAATTTTAAAATTAAATTAAATAAGAAAATATACTAGTAACTTCAAGATATATCAGAAAATTATATGGTTGAATATTTATTTTATTTGTTTGTTTAATGAATTTGTTGAATTGATGTGTGATGTGCGATGATGTTGTTATAAGTGATAAAATAGTATTTTAAACTAAATAATTTAATATTAACAGCACATTTCTTTCGATTATTCAAAATGCAATAAAATGATGATAAAATGATAAATCTGATTTAGAAAAAATCCATTTTTATTTTTTAATATATAAAAGTATATATATAATTTAATTTAACAAAGTAAAAATAGAAATATTTTCCTTCAATGTTATATAATTTTTTTTCATAAATATACAATATTTATTTTAAAATATTTAATTTTATTTTTCGCTATACGCAATTTATAAGATTTATTTTTTCCTAAAGATAATCGTATACCTTCATAATTCCTAGAGTATAAACATTTTACGAAGTGCATATAACTCAATATGGTATGAACAAAGTTTAAATATGCAAAAGGACTTGCTGATTATATTGATGTATCAAAGACCAGTAATTCTTTCCATTAATGTTCTGTTACCAGAGCTTACTTTACGTTATTATTGTTCGGTAAGATAAGTTCAACATTCAAAATGTGCATTATGATGAATGAGTAAAGTAAACAGAACTAAATGTAAATTAATAACATTTCAGTACGTGGCAAATGCTTTCTCTGTTTTCACAGCTCTGCGAGCCGTGGTAGAAGATAAGTGAATATAAATGCATTTTAAATTGTTGTATAATAAAGTCTTCATTATTATAATAGTCATCATTAGAAAATGTGATAAGTGATTATAAACAAATTCCATAATTGTTAAAGTTATCAATATTCTTATATTATTGAAAATAAATATATTTGTATATCTATACATTAATTTTTTTATATCAATAAAACATAAAGTTTATTAATATTTCAATATATTTAATTAAATAAAATTATATTATACAAAAAGAATTTTTTTTTTTAATTCTATCATTTTTTTTATTAAATCGATATATAGTAAATATTTAAAAAATGAAGAACATTTTTATGATGAAATTAAATTTTTTTGTAGTTGCATTATAATATGTTCAATTATTTTTAATTTGATACTGCTATCAATTCATATAAAATAATAATATATAAATAATTTTTTTCATACTTCAAGATAGAATTTTTTCTACTTCCTTAAATTCTTTTTAAAATACTGTTATTTTTACCAATTCCATAATTATTACATATAATTATAATTCTTTAATAAATAACTTTAATAAATAACAATAAATATCAGAAATCTTTTATTTAATAATAATTTAATAAATTGAATCTCAAACATATTGTCACATATATGAATGAGATATAAAAAATTTACAGATGAAACATCTCATGTAACAATTATATATATTTAACTAATTATTTTTTAACTAATTATTCGATATCCATCAAAATAAGGTACACAATAAATACATCTTATGGGACTAAAATCTCATATAATACCAGTCGACGTCGCGTAACGTCGCATAACGTCGATGCGATCTATCGCGTTTTTTATCTGTAGTTTTTACGCGAATCCGTTTTTAACACGTAAGTGTTAAACGTAGTAACAAAATGTTGATTTATAGCCAATAGAAAATTATTCGGAATAATATTTTCAGAACGATTATAATGGAACTTTTATAGGAACTATACACTCTACTTGTATGGAATGAGTTAGTATGCTTTTGAAAAATAATATAAAGATATTAGCAATTTATATTAGATATTAGCATTAGATGCGTTGGAAAAATACAGCATAAAGTGACGCTTGAATTTTTTGCATACGTTACAATTTGGCTATAGACTATGAATTCAGAAGACAAAATGAACTCCATAAAAATATCATTAGCGTCATATTGTTAGCAAGCAAAAACTAACTATTTAAAAAACTGTACATTCTATTTATTAACATTTCAAAACACATGGAAGAACGGAGTCAAGATCATATTCAACGCGTACTTATATACAAGACATCTATTGGGCGTGGAATTTCACCAACCTTGGCGATGTTATCCATATTCACCATATTGCGAATCAGGTACTGCCGGCGATGTTATTGGTCATCCCACTTAGAATTAGGATATTACCAATTAGCTAGGAAGAGAGTCGATCTGAACCACTTTCTTTGTGGCTAAACTCACTATCGCACAAACTCTCGCGCGGAGCAAATCAATTGGTAAATCGTGCTCTGACCATCGGACATGATACTTTGTACTTTGTATTTTACATAGGAGACACAGGTTTCTAATAGACATCGCTTAATTAGTCCAACGCGACGACATTAACCCGGCTACGGCGAGAACACTACTAATTTAAAGAAAATTCTGTTTGAATTTCCACTTCTTAATTTCTTTGTGATTCTATCTAATCCTGATAATTAAATTTTTCCATATCTTGATTGGCAATATACCGTAAATATCAAAGATGATTTGTGAAAGATTAAGATGAGTTTTTTAGATCATTATCTAATTTAACAAATATTCCAGCATATTTGGTTATGCTAGAATAATATAACAAGTTCAATAAATATAATTTAATAGACATTTGTAAATGATCTAGTAACAATAGGAGAGGAAAATTTATTCTTTCTATAATGGTATATGAGTCATTCAACTACACCTATTTTTTTATTGTAGAGGAAATCATGATCATTTTTGAATCAGATGATTTTTATCGGCTAAAACCTTCTCCGGAAAGCATCAGAAGCTCTTAGCGAATACTTCCGGCTCGTCTTTGATTTCACATTCAAGTTCGGTAGAGTAGAGTTGATCGTCAAATTCAAATGGAATTGATCTTCAATGTCGGATGGAGTTGACTTTCAAGATTAGGTAAAGTTGACTTTCAAAGACAGATGGAACTGACGTCAAATCTACCTGTTAAACTCAATTCAACTCAACTCACTTCACCTCATCTCAATTCAACTCGACTCAACTCGATTCGACTCGATTTAACTTAATTCCATTTCATTTCATTAATACTTACATAATTTTGGAACACTGCTCGAGTTCAATAGAGTGGACCATCATAGGCCAAACAGTGTTTTAGACTGATCCGCATACTCGTAAACATAAAGTCTATACTTCACCGTTCTGCAGCCTTTGAGTAAAGGACTTACTGTTGGAAGGGAGCGCCATCATCTCTTCCTCTCATTCTTTGCCTTTCTTAACATGACTGTTTCGCAGAAGGAAACTGCTGCATTATTTCTCCTTTGAATCTATTTTTTCTCTTCATCAGCATGAATGTAACGATGGCTGACAGAGAAATATTCGTTTTTATCTCACTCATCAGGTCAAGACGCTCTCTTCGAACGCATTACTTAAAAGTCATATGCTACGTTGACAACACACTTTTGACCGTATGATAAAGGGACTGTCTCGCGGAATTGAAAATGATCTCCGAATTTCCGCTATCCATCAATCGAAGTTGGATATAGCATCTCGCAAGATCGAGACGTTCTTTTCATTCGCTCTGGTCGTGATTGCTGATCAGCGAAATATATGTTCAGATTGATATATCTCAGTCTTCTCTTCTGGTGCTTCGATGTTCATTTCAACCTAATCCACCAATTGGAGAGTGTTGCGTTATGCCTGCCAATGTCGAGTTGCATTATATAACCTTAATATCCAGGGACAGGATGAGAAGGTTCACCGCCTCTATGTGGCAGTTGGCGTGGAAAATGGCGCTATATAAAGCGCGTATATAGACTGCAGACCTGATGGCAAGCTGCCGTAGCACCGATAAACTGTGGCAAGTGCTGCGCCGACATATCATTAGAGTCATTAGAGAATGGCACATGGTCTTCCATGCAATAGCGATGATGCTAACAGATACTGCTGCCATCTTTTGGCAGAAATATACGCCAAAGTGTACGATTTGTGAAAACCATCCGTCGAGAGCGATCGAATTAGCGAGGTGCCAGGTCCGATGTGCGGCGAAAGTAAGAAGGCATATTTTATAATAGTTCCTCTCACGTCGTCGTAAGGTCCTTCCTTAGATAGGTGATTGGACCACAACCATGAAGCATTCACCTTCCGGATAACTGAGATCTTAACTTTAAATTCACAGTTATTTTGGATTATGTTTTTGTGTCATATCAGTATTATGATGTCTTGCTATCAAATCTGCGCCAACACGAACGTTTCATATTGCGTCATATGTCTGCACGACTTTCTAGAGGCGGTGAATCTTCTCATGTTCTGATATTAAGCACACTGCAGCCATAACTTTCTCTAATCGCGGGATCAGGCTACCGAAGGAAGAACACCTAAACAAAACAAATCTTATGGTATATTTCAAAATTCAAATTAAATTTTCGATAAGTAACTGATTTTATCCATTTATTTAACTTTATTTATTTTATTATTTATCTTATTTGATGAATTGTTTTATAATTCATATAATATATATATAGTATATGTAGGCTTATTTATCATTTATCATTTTTTTTTCTATTTCAAATACATATTATCATTTATTTAGAAAAATTTTATATGCGTTTCTTTATATCATAATTTTATATTCATTTTCAATATTAAATAAATTTATTTATTTATTCTACTGAATAGCAAATAATTAGTTTATTCATTTTTCTTGGATAAAGAAAAATTTTTTTTCGATAAAAAAATATTTAAATTTAATACACTTTTTTTTCGATGAACTTGGCCTTGTTTATCGAGATTGGTCGGCACGATTATATTCAAATCGTCACAGCTCGACTATATGGTCTGTGATTTATTAATTTGTTTTTTTATAATTCATTAGTATAATAGTTAATTCAAAGATTTTAAAGTTAGAAGCACCATAAACATTTGTAACTAGAAAACAAAGAAATTTTTATTCTTATTTTTTATTGATTAAGAGTCTAATCATTATATCTAAAAATTTATGAAATCTGTTATATTTATAACAATATAAATACATCGTATATCAAAGATATGATCATACAAAAATATATAAAACTTATAAAATTAAAAAATTATATTAAATTATATAAAATTAAAACTATTTTATTATTAAATTCAGAGAAATATTTTTTCAAGGAATACTCAAAGTCACTCGTCTATTAAGTATATTTTATATAATGAAGCTTATCCAAATTATAAAAATTGCAACAATTATAAAAAAAATATAAAAAAATAGAAACATGCCAATCAACAAAAGACATATATACATACATACCGAAATTATATGGAAAACATGAGTTACGTTAATACAACAAAATATAATAGCAAAGAAATACAAATATTATTGAATATTAAATATTATTGAAGAAGACAATATATCGCTCAGAGCTCTTTAAATCTTTTTAATCCAATTTGAAGTCCTTTTAACTCTTAAAGATAAGACTGGATATCTGTTTGTAGTTTCAATTTATTGACAAAATCAATAGAGTTTGTGTGATTTTTTTAAATTTTGGGACAGATTTGTTACGTAAGAGAATTATGCGGAACAAATTATCTCGAGTTTGAGACTTGCCAATTCTAAGAACAAAAAATTCTGTAAAATGGAAAGAATATAAATATCAGTAGTATAGAGTAAATACCAGTATCTCAATTCATTAGCTTTCCGACATGGCAAATTTTAGATATTTATATATTTAAAATATATCAGAAAATTAAATTCCAATCTCTCATTTAACTACTTTATGATTATATTAACTATAAATTCAACTCTAATTGAAAAAATAAGAAAAACTTTATTTCATAATTATAAAATTATTAAACGATTAGATAAAGTTTAAAAAATATATAAATTAATATATAATAATATGTATGTAAATATATATGTAATCTAAAATTTCAATTAAAAAATATAAATGATCGAAGAGAAAATAACTCTGATACAA